ATCGATATTACACGATAAATACATCAATGAAAAAAAAAACTTTTTTTTTTTTTTTTGTTTTTTTTTTTTTGTTTTAGATAAGAAAAATCAAGCGAAGGCGTGAATACGAGCCAAGGAATCGTCATTAGGTCCATGATTACCTTGCTCGTTTCTTTCGCCATCATAATCCGTTGGTCATATAGAATGTTGAGGGGGTGGTAACATAATTTCGTAACCCGTCGGCATACTCTGTTGATTATGATGATGGTGATGGGTACTAGACATCATTTGATGATGGGTTTGTTGATAATATTGATGATGCATACTGCTATGACTTGGATAATAAACCGAGCTCTGTTCCACGTCTCTACCTGGACAAATTAATATCATATAATTTCAACAACGAGGAATAAGAATAATAATTGTTAATATATTGAAAAGAGTAAAAAAATTAATGTAAAATAGTGAAATTTAATAAAAAATAATAACCCACCACTTTCATAAACGCTACGACCGTAGCATAACGCTTTGACGTCGTTCATGGGACTAAGACCACCATTATGTGGATGAGCCGTGTGTACAGAGGACGGTGTTACAGGAGTCGCATAACCGTGATGATGTGGCCCCATAGGACTCATCCCCATTGGACTACATGAATTCATTGCGGCTGGTGACATACCCATCGTTGACAAAGGTGACATAGCTAAATTCGGACTGTCCGAATCGATGCTCTGCAATGATTGCATACTTCCACCGTTGCTCACCGAATTATTAATTGTATTGTTCGTTGTGCTTTGACAATTGAGTGGTAGCATGTCCCTGGAAAAAAAAAAAAAAAACCAAAAAGCGATATTAAATGATTCTATACTAATAGGTTTCTATTAACGTTAGTTACTATTGTTTTTTAAAAAATTAAAAAAATTTATTCCTAAGCTATAAAGCTTAAGTTCTTCTCTTTCGTTTCTTCTCCTTTAACGTGAGAAAAAGAAAAATAAAAATGAAAAAGAAAGAAAAAAAGAAAAAATGAAAATATTCATGGGTAATATATTTTAGATCCCAAAGCAGCCTAGTATCATAAATCTTATGGTTTTTGAGGATCACATGGCAGATCAGCCATTGTTTTAAGAATTAACTTATGTCCCTTCTTAAAAGTTCTTAAACCAAAAACGATTAGTTTACGACTAATGCGACAGTAAAATATGGAAAGAAATACTTTTGCATTCAAGAAAATTTATTGGAATCTAACTTCACGTGATATTTTCTTTGTATTTTTATTTTTATTTTTTCTTTTATTTCTTTTTTATTTTCTTTTCTCTTTTTATCTTTTCTTTTTGTTTTGTCTTTAATCGTTGTAAAACTCCAAAAAAAAAGAAGAAAGGGTCAGGGCTCCAGGTAAACAAAATTTCATTCTAGTACATGTTGGTACATGTAATACGAATTATGTGTATTAGTTAGTTGTGTTAGTATGTGTAGATGAAATTTTAAAGCATATGCATACACGGTGGTCTCTGTCCATGTGCAAAACGACCCCGCCCATGGGCAGCGTTCCTTCGTTTCTTACTTCCTTTCTACCTTCTCCTCTTCCCCACCTTTTTTTCTCTTCTCTCTTATATATTTTTTATTTTTTTTTCCCCCCCCCCCCTTTATGTAGACGCAAGGGCACAAGCATTTTTATACTTCGCGTTCTCCAAGGTCTTAAGAAATACGCCCTACAAAGGCGTAACCTTTTTTTCTCCCGTTTACTTCCTCCCTCTTTTATAATAACATCCCTTCTGCGTTCAATACTATTTTCACAACTTTTTTTTTATAATGTTGATAAGAAAAAAATTATAATCGTATGATAATAAAATACGAAATGAAAATATGCGAGTACGACGTATGCATTTATATTTGCCCGGGTATTATTAGAAACTTTTTTTGTGTTAGTAATTTGTACAAAAATTGGAGCAGGATATTTACCATGATCGTTTCTAAAAAGTGAAAAAGAAAATTCCCCATAAGTTAACAAGCTCCTTCCTTCATTCTTTATCTCTTAATCTGAATAAGTTCTCTTAGCACAACGAATATAATGCAATATGTAATTCATTGAACAACAATGGCACAGAATATAATCCTAATCATATATTTCTTACATTAATTTCAAAATTAAACAAAAATATTTATCCGCCAAATTAATTATCTTCTTATTTTCTTTTTTTTTTAAGAAAAGAAAAAAAAGAAAAAGAGAACGGATAGAGAATTCGTTCGGATTTGTCGTCTGGCATTTTTTTTTCTCCTTTTTTTTTCTTTTATTTTTGAAAAATCATCCACATTCGGATAAATGATTTTTTTTTTTTTTTTTTTCTTTTTCTCTCATTCCTACGAAGATTTATCTCTCGCGGAGTAGTTTTTCGGCGGAGAACCGATTCGACCTTTCTCTCTTTTTCCGCCCTTAACGTCCTCTTTCGAGAAAGACTCTAGGAAAAGGAAATGCGACGCCCCATTACCGTTTTATGACGCAGCTACGGTTACATCTCGCGTTTCACCATTGAGCTGTTCGCACTACCAATAGTTTACTACATAAAGGCCACGGCCGGCCCTCCACCGCTACCCCGATTTATCTTCACTGTGCCCCTCCCCCCGCTGGTAACACACCAACTACAATTCCGCAATCTTTTCATCCTTATTAACGCAATCACTAATTTCCGTTTCCTTTTTTTTTTGTTTCCCCCATTAATAAATTATTCGTTCGATAAACAAAAAGAAACAAATAAAAATTTGTCAACTATATTATAATTTCAATTTATTAATATATAATAATATTTGTAGACTGTATATTATTGTAAAAATAAATGATCAAGATACGCATGAAATATTTTCCTTTCGAGTAAATAATAATTCACGGTAGAGGTGTGGGGGGAGATTGCATAAAGTAATTGGTTTTGTATTTTTATAATAAAGGACGAATCGTATCAAAGTCGCATATTATTTAATCGTTGATAAGTTTTAATATTACATAAAAATTCTTATGTAAAAATATGTTCGACAATATTTATTCAATAATTAATATCAATAATAATTTTAATTATTTTCTTTTTTTTACACCGCGCTTTTTTGTACTTTTTAGATACGTCAAAATGCTTCAATCGTTTCAACATTTCAATATAATATCTTTCATTGAATATATTTCTATATATATATATATATGGTCAATAATTTGGTGTTAAACGATTTGATTTCTATCCAAAAAAAAAAAAAAAGAAAATGTTCAATGAATAATCCACACAAGAAAGGTATATATATATATATATATTCTTTAAAAAATTTGTAGAGTCCACACACAGTTAGAAAGTATTAGGTCCTTGGGAATTAAAGGAAACATTCAACGGGAGGTCTTCTGTGGTAGCCCATGACCGCGGTTAAGTCGTAGCCATAACAACGGAGAGTTCGTTCCTTTCTTTATGTAGTATAATACTCACAAAACTCTTTCACGTTTTATACGTAGGCGTAAACATAAATATACTACACGCACTACCAGCCAATGTGTGTTACGCACGCGCGCCGTTACGCACGGTGATTCGTTCGACGAGTACGCCTTTGCTATATATTCTGACTACTACTGTGATATCGGCCATTGCCACGAAAGAATATCCTTACGCGACAAACACGTGTGCATTACATTATTTTTCACCTCTCTTTCTCTCTCTCTCTCTCTCTATATTATTTTTAATTTTTTTTGTTTAAGTTATTTAATGTAAGATTTAATAAATGTTCGTACATTTCTCAGTCCTGCGATTTTCATCATCATCGGATCTCACTATTTTTTAATTTTAATATTTCTTTTTTTTATTATTATATTTTTATAATAAATATTTATTAAATGTAATAATTGTTTGTATAATATGTTTTAAGTATGGTTATATTATATATTTGTTTTATATTAATATTTATCAAAATTGGATATTTATAATAAAATATTAATAATAGGAATGATAGGTATTATATCGATTAATATATCGAGAATTAATTGTTATTTTAATATATATAAATTATTAATTAATTCATAATTTTATATTTATATCCTTTGATCGCATTTATATTTTCCATGTCATTTTATAGAAATACTGATCAAATATAAATACAATTGCAATATTTCATTTTTATTTCTTCCTATTATCGGGAACTTTAAAGATAAAAGAAAAAATAATTAAATCGAAATGAATGATCAAATGTTCGCGTCATCGATGATGCAATAAACATCTTAGAAAATATTAATGAATGATAATTAATTCATTCATGTTACTAGGTCGATAAACTATTAATTCATATACCACCGTTACAATCGTGTCTCTTATTATTTATATTTTTTAATATGACGATTGAAATTGATACCGTGTGTCCGTTTGAAATAACACTTATGTATATCATCAAGTCAGCAAAGTTCACCGAACAGTGGTACGATGCTGAATTAGCCTAAGCATTTAATTACTGCACCATCCATGTGATTAGAAACGTACGTACGTGTGTGTGCATGTGTGCGTGCCTGTGTGTATGTCTGCTGTTGACGAGGCATCGATATTTTCATTTATATTTATATTTTCAGCTAAACGAAAAATATATATTTTAAAACATTGAATATTTTTCAACGATTTCTTTGATCATTATTTATAGGAGTGTGTTTATCAAAACGTTCGCGTTTAATATACCCCGATAATTAATCGATGTTATAATCTTAAGCATCGAGATCCATACCCCACATATTTATTTAATCCTTTCCGAGTTCGTATACGTTTATTTTCCAGTCGTAAGGTAAACAAATTTTCGTATCAAATAATCATTTGTTAAAATCCCTTATCGAAATCATTCAATTCATTTATCTTTGATTATATGAAAATAAACTCCTAATTGAAAACAAAATAATATTGGACATTTACGAGACATTTTTGTAATATATCACTTATTAACCGATCGTATTCTCAAGATAATAATTTTGTCGTTTATATATTTAAAAACTAATATAAAAATAAATATTGTCGAATATTTAAACTCTTTTTCTTTTTAAATCCGAAATTATCGTATAAAAATAATGGATAAACCAGAAAATATATTCGAAACACTTGTTGCTCGTTGAAAAATAAGAGAGACCCCCCGATGTTATATATGCCCGGGACGCTTTTACACGTTCCAGTTGTTTTTTTTTTTTTTTTCTTTTTTTTTTCTGAGAAAGTACGAAAAGATTTTTTTCTCTGGGCGTAGGTATATTTAAATGACCATTTTCCGAGAATCGAAAAGGGAACACAAAAAAAGAAAAATTCAAAGTTTAACGTATCTTCAAAACTCACGGAATACGCACGCACGCACGCACATACGCACGTACGTATTCACGCATACACGCGTACACAATTGAACAATAATTTATTGAAATATTTGAATAAAACTAAATATAATATAGAAAAAGGTATATGCATAATAATAAAACTTACGATCTCGTTTGCGGCGTACGATCCCTTTGTCTTCGGTTTTTAAACCAATTGGAAACTTGGGTCAACGTTAGGCCAGTTTTCTTAGCTAGATTTTTCTTGTCGTCCGGAGTCGGGTACCTGTTTCTTGTATAACATTCCTTCAAAGCTGTTCTAGATCGTTCCTTGAAACAATAAACGGTTTCCTCACCGTCCCAAATGGTCTTTGGTAAAGGATATTTCTTTCTTAATCGATACTTATCAACGGCACCCAATGGTCGGCCACGAATCTTTTCTGCTTCGCAGTAATGCGATTTGTACCACATTTGTTGTAGTTCTTGATGCCGTCGCGGTGAAAATGGATGACTCTCGAGGATCATGTAGAGCTCATGATAGGAACCACGATGAAATGCTACGGCTGCTCGAGCCATTAAAACGCTCTCGTTACCGCGCACCAACTCACCCGGTGGTAATGACCATAGAAACCTGACAAATCGAAACAGATATTATACTTTCAATTAAATTTCTTTTCCTTCTTTGTTTTTTTTTCTTTTTCATTTCCTTACATATTATTTTCGCGATTTTTTTTATAGGATTTTGTCTATGTGTGTGTGTGTGTGTGTGTGCGCGCTCGCATACAATTTTATTCAAGCAAATATTTGAATTATTGACAAAGCCTATTGGTTTTTACGCATTTTATTACAATATATAACAAAATATTTAATTAACGTAATATCTACGACAATAATTCAATCGAATTTTGAAGAAAATTCATTTTAATCTCTTTTACAATCTGATTAATAAAATATTTTACATGTAATCGAATTAAAAAAGGAAAATATTGCTCGATTAATAATAATCATTGACAATAAAATTCCATCACATCTGTCAATTTATTTAGGTGTAATAATCATAGGAGACGAATTTGATACCAAGTCTTACAAACAATTCTCTCATTCTCTCATTCTCTCATTCAGATTTGTTTCTTTTTGGTCCTTTACCGATTATATCGGGCCGAGCATATCTCACATATAAGTCGCAATTCGTTCCGTTTACGAGCTTAACCGAACGAAACTGACTTGCTTTGTTTGCGTTGTATCGATAGCGTTGTGGTGACTTTATTTTCAAACTTTAAGGGCCCACAACCAATCTGTTTCTTCATCGGCATTTATTTATTGTCTCGTTTATTTCCTTTCACGATTACATCGATTCTTCGTAGGGAACAGAACAGAACAGAACAGTACAGAACAGAACAGAAAGAAAGAAATAATAATAACCAAAATTAATAATAATAATAATAATAATTTAACGACCGCGACGAGAGAGTAAAAAAGGTATATACAAGGCACGTTAATTTAAAAGAAGAAATTTTAAATGAAAGGATCTACTGTTCTACTTAATTATAAATTTTACTCAACATCTATAAAAAGTTGTGAACTCGTTAAAAAACGATTTCGGATAGAGATCGTAAATACAAATAATATTATAATTAAAAGAGCTAACCAATGTTTTTTATTGTGTTCAAATGATTTTACTCTTATACAATAGATTGTTATATATATTATATATAATCAGTTGTCTCTTTCGTCCAAAAATAAAATTCTTAATAAGAAAGTATCATAGGGAATTTGGATATCAAAAAAAGAAGTAGAACTTAATTTTAATAAGTTGGACGTTTCGTCCCTTTATTGGGACTTCTTGGACTTTAAAGATTAAGTTGCTGAAGAAGTCCCAGTAAAGGGACAAAACGTCCAACTTATTAAAATTAAGTTCTACTTCTTTTTTTGATGTCCAAATTCCTTATGATACCTTCTTATTAAGAGTTATATATATTTAATCTCGAATGTTGTTAATAATATCCAACGAATGAAACTTAAATAAAAATCATTAGTTTCACCTAGTTAATTTTTCGATGTCTTGGCTCTGGGATAGCGCTTCGCACATGCAGGATATCTGTTCGGGTGTAAAATTGCTGACCGTTGTACCGAGAGATAATCCACCGATATTTCCAATATTCGTAGAGACATTCGCCGAACTGCAGGTGGACAATTCTTGGGGATATTGAGGACTACCGTCAGACGTGGGCGTTAAATTTTGTGGTTGTGCATGATGGCTCAAACTAAGGACCGACATCGAAGAATTGATGTATTGTCCGGCAGCAGTGTTCCGATGAACACCACCCATTTGACTATTACAGTCGCTGTTCGGTGGTGACAGCTGATCCGAACTATCAGACATTCTTAGGAACCTTTACCGTTTTCATTCAACACGCTCATATACACCTACGAACATATACACACTCACGCATGCACTCACGCATGCACGCACCCACGCACGCATACACGCCAGGCACGCTCGCGGACACTTTTATTTCTTCGATGAAATTTCTTCAAACTCTTTCTTTTGCATTGTTCCTCCTCTCTTCTTTCTATTTTTTTTTTCCCCCGATTGGATGAATTATCGAAAAACAATTTTAGAATAATTATACGCGACCAATACTATTTTAAATAATTTCTTTTCTTTTTTCGTATATATTTAAATATTAATTTATAATATATTATATATTATTAATATACTATATTAATTTAAATATAATAATATACGATTTTAAAAACAATGCCAATCACGATCAAAATAAACGTCCGATCTCCGGCCGATTTACGAGCCTAACTCGTTGTTTAATCACGCGCGATTCATTCATATTCCACGATGTTCTTGCTTCCATAGTTCACGTTTTTTTTCCCCCATTGACGAGAGAGAGAGAGAGTCCGTTGACAATACACTAATCAGTCTAGATAATCGTACGATATCGATCTTTATTCTTTCTTCTTTTTTTTATTTTAACTTTACACACATAGTCTTATCAAACGAATATATATATATATAATATAATTAACATTGAATAATATAAAAGTCATATAAAGTTTTACAAAATTCAATCACACTTTTTAACGGATGATCACTCGTTGACCAATGATATATATATATATTTAATAATTAATCATCGGATAATAATATAATATCGAATGAATCACGACAATGTTATAATTCCACCTGTTCGATCACATTTTTCTTTCTTCTTTTAATTAAACTTATAAAAAAGAATCCTTTTTTAATAAGAATACCAACACGTTTATTATACACATTCGATTAGTATTATATCCTAAGGTAAGTAGACGACAGAATAAGAAGACACTAAGAGCTGAAAATAAACGTTGGGTATATCTTGATGAACACGACCGAACACACCACCACGGGGGTCGAGCGGGGAGGGGCCAGGGGTTCGGAGGATAGATCGTTCTTCTTGATAGGTAATTATGCGAGTCTCGATTATAAGGACTCCTTTGACCGTCGCCGAAGAAGACACACTCACTGAGTGACCAAGTCACCAAGTTAGTTCAAAGCCAACTCGCTCCACTATTTGCTACGTAACGCCGTTGCCGTGCTTATGCGGTGCCTATGTTGAGTATAGCTAGGAACTCGCTGATGGTGGTGACGGTAGTCGCAGTGGTGGTGGTGATGGTGGTGATGGTGGTGGTGGCGGTGGCGGTGATGATGGTGGTCTTCTCTCTTTCTCTTCTTCTTCCCTTCTCTGTTTCTTTTTTTTTTTGTTTCTTTTTTCTTTTTTTTTCCTCCCCCTTTTTTATTTTTTATTTTTTATTTCGTTTATACGCTCACCTATAGAGTACGAAGATCAGAGTGGCTCGACTCCAAACGAGCAAACTTCTCTCATTGGCCAACGCGTACTCGCTCCTGCATTACGATTGGTCGAATCTAGGGGCGGTCCAAGACTCTTTACCCCCGTTAGAAACGCTCACCCCATCCAGCAACAGCAGTTATCCTTTTTCGTTTCCATTCCCCTCTCTCTCTCTCTCTGTCTCTCTCTCTCTTTATACCTTTAATCCTCCAATTCTACTTACATACCTTTCTAGAAAACGTTTAAGGATTTTCCTGGAAGGTCTATGCATTTCAATTGATTAAAATCATTCCTATCATTGGATCATCCTACAAACTCTCGATAATCTAATTTATTCCCAAGTATTAATATAATTTGATTATAATATATTATACATTATTAAATCTGATATATAGATCGTTTCTTTCATTATTTTTTTTTTTAGATAAAATCGTATGCGCAGAAAAAGAAAGAAAGAAAAAATAAAAAGGCTAACGTTAACGAACAAAACGTTACAATGTTTGATAATGCAAAAATGGTCATCAACAAACACCGGAAACGCGTCACGTCATCCTATGCCGTGTTTTTACTAAACGTTCCGTTCGTCTATCGGTACGTATCACTCTGTCGTTTCATCGGACAATTTCAAAACAATCGTTCCGACCATTTCTATCCGTTGAGAATTTCTCATTTCGTTCCTAATATACGACAGATAAAAATTATGGAAATTTATTTTATCCGTTCATGATAAAAAATACCTATATCAATCCGTACCACCAGTTATGGTTATACATATATATATCGTGTTTCATTTCAATCGAATGCATTCTATCATCCACCGATCGAAGAATTAAACGGCTAACATTGATTTATCGTCGTAATTATCTTGAAACATTTAAAACGAGATGAAACTATCTCCCCCAATCGAATGGTAGCTTATTCCTATGCTTCGGGTTTGTCTGCAATCAATGCAAACTGTGTTATCGGTAACAAATTTGACACCCACGTTACTTCTCCTATTCTTTATAATCACGTTGATTTTTTTCTTTAATTTTTTTTTATCAACCATATGATTACTATCTTTCGTTTTAATAAACTTTTTCATATAATAGAAGAAAAAGAAAAAAAGTAGTTGATCATATCGAATTTGTCGAAAAATATGAAACCTCTCGCGAACTTAAATCGATTTTTGATTTTATTTCAATATACATTGGAATTATTCGTGTTAATTTTTTTATGTTTCAAATATATTTGTCCAATCAATTCGAGATTTGATTGGTTTTTAAGGAAAAATATAATGATCGAGAGAAAATACTTGACGTAGGTCGTTATTCAAATTATATTCCGAATAAGATTTAAGAAAATTTTGAAGATGATGACGAGGAGGAAGAAGAGAAGGAAGAGGAAGAAGATGTTGTCGAGAATAACGTAGATCAATGAGAGCCGATACGTTTTTGGTGGCAGACGAACGAAGATGTCTTTCCGCGGTTGGCCTAATCTTGGCACCGATGTTCGTCACGCCTTTACAATCCTTTGAACATGCCCCGCCTTTTCTTCTAATTGCCAACAGGATGTCTCAACCAAAGTGCAACTGTTGGACCGTAAAGATAATGACCCTATGCTCTTTTCTTTTTGTTCTTCCTCTTCTACTTCTTCTTCTTTGTTTTTCTTTTATTCCTATGCCAAACACCTAACTCCGACAGATTTGGATATATTGACGAGAAAAAAAAAAGAATAGAAAAAATTCGTTTTCCCCATAATATACATATTTCTCTCTTCGGAATGAAAAATAATCACATAACATTTTCTATTACCTTACAATTGGATAGGTTAGACAATTCTAATGAGTTTAAAAATGATCGATACGATTATAACAAACGATAATTAATAATAAAATAATCTCGTTGAGTAGAGCGTGTCAGATTAACGATGAAGAAATTATCGGGTTAATTGTCAAACGCGGAATGAATGTCAGCCACCCTTAATGAAATAAAACAAAATAAAACAAAATTATCGGCACCTTAGTGACAATAACATGATTAAAAAAAAACGCATAAGATTGGCTGTTTAAAAAAAAAAACCATTTGCATGTAACCACTCTTATCGACGATAATGTAACACAACAAGACTGAGGACGATCGTTCAGAAATTTGATACCAAGTAATAACGATCACCCGTTATCGTGTCTGATAACTTAATATATCCTTTTTAACTAAATAAAACATAAAAAAAATATTAAAAAAAAAACACACACATACACAGTGCAAACACCCTTGTGCATCTCTAATCGTTACTTCATAATACTAATCATCATCATCATCATTATTATAATAATCATTGTAAATAGATGAAATATTATCCTCTCAATTTGATTTTATTCGATCAGAGACAATTCAATTGTTTTTAATTGATATTCGATAAAATTCTTAAGAAATTAACATAAGTTGGTAGACCAAAAGAAAAAGAAAAAGAAGAAAAATTTATTAGAGAATAAAGTTATGGGAACATTTTTTTTCGGATGAAATCCACGGCAAAGGTGGCAAGAGGATGACACGCAGAGGATGTCTTCGGCGGCGGTGGGATGGGGTGGGGTGGGTCGGGGAGAGGGTTGGGGGAGGGGGGGAGGAGGGAAGATTCGATGATGGAGGGGCGGCGCCGTGCTTCGCGATGGCGTCTCCTTCGATTTGGTGTCAGATTACCTTTTCCCCGGTCGCCATTTTCCCTCTCCTAGTCCTCTCTCTCGCGCCTCTCTCCAATCCAGGTTCTCTCAATCTCCCCTCTCCCTCTACCTTTACCTCTATCTCTACTTCTACCCTTCTCCCTGTCTTCCTCCCCTCCCCCTTGCTATTCCATCCCTTACATCACCTCGAAAAGATAAGAAAGAATACACTCTCGCACTCTTATTCTTGTCAAAACGATCTCCGAGATTCCCAATTTCATTTGCGTTCCACTTTTGTTAACCCCCCCCCCCCAACCCCGTCCCCACTTCTTCTTCTTCTTCTTCTTCTTCTTCTTTTTGTCATCCTTTTTTTGCTTTTAAATTCTAGACTCGACTTCACCCCATTTTCCAAAATTTGAAAGATATTATTTCTTTGTTTTTTTTTTTTTTCATTACAGTTAGTATTCCTTTGAAAAGCTTTTTTCTTCCAATGGAATTATTCAACGTGGATCGTATTTAATCGATTCGCGAATATATATTTCGTCTAAATAATATCAAAGGAAACATCGTAGCAAAGTCGATAAATATAATATATTTGAGATGGATATAAAAAAGAAAGAAAAATGAAATATTATTGGATATCGATTGAATAAAAAGCTTGGGAAAAATCAAAGGAATCCAAGACTCGATCGCTATTTCACTTTGCTCTTCGTTAGAATTCTAAACGTTTAGAGATGCGTTGTTTCCCCGTTTGTGTTCCCGTCGCGTTAAGGTATTTATCTATCTTCGCGTATTCGTTGGAACGTATATATATATATATATAGAAAAGAGACATAAAGAGAGAAAAGGAGGAGAGTTGGCACCAGCACCAGCACCAGCACCAGCACCAGCACCAGCACCAGAAACAGCAACAGCAGCAGCAGCAGCAGCAGCACTAGCATCGTATTTCACTGTACTGCGTTTAATTGCATTCCAAA